AAGCCAGAAAAGTGATTGCAAACACAGCACTGAGTTCCCAGCCCTGTGCCCTCGCTCTCCCACTCCCTTGGGGATGTTCAAATTAATTGGCTTGTCTCCTGGAGCTGTTAGCTGGAACAAATAAAAAAGAAAGGGGGGTGCCAAAACCCATAATAAGGTCTACAGTTCCTCCGAGCTACAAGCACTGCTTTAAATTTCGGGATTTTTTTTTCTTGTTCTTTTCCCTTTTTTTTTTTTTTTCTCCTCATTTGAAGGAGGTTTCCATGGTAACTGTCTCCCATCACACAAGTGCCTGTCCCCAGGATATTTCAGGGTTGCTAATACCTGCTTTCCCAGGCAGCCACAGCACACTGTGATGGTGACATCGTGGTTGGGTGTCTCAGTGCTCTCAGCTCTGGGTGCCACCTCCAGCCGTGGCCCAGTGGAAGGGATCACAGGAGCTGCCATCACAGGCCACCAATGCAACCATTGGCATTCTGGGGCAGAACCATAGGTGATGGAAGGCTCTTCCAGGCTCTCCCATGCTTAAACACCCCAAATCCCCATGCAAAGGTACAGGTGGGCTCTGCTCAGCCCTTCCCCATCTCCTTCCCCTAGCAGGTCAGTTTTCAGCTGGATCGGTTCCCTGTGGAAGCAAAGCCAGCTCTCTACATCCTTGATATCTGCTTGCTCTGCTATGCTCATTAGTCATACTAATTACTGAAATGCCTCAGAGCCAGCCAGGAGAGGGACCGTGTCTCCTCCTGCACCGCATCCTCACATCCAAGCTTCCGTGACCGATGTGCCACTACTGGTGCTTCCCAGTGTTAAGCAGCCACAAACCAGCAACCAGAGCCTTCCCTTTGCCATGCAAACCCTCCTGATCTGAGCAGGAGAGCCCCAGCAACGCGCAAGGAAAAGGACAGCCAGCTTGAAATGATGGATCTGTCACTATCCAGATGCTTCCCCAATCCCGGGAGGCAAAAATTCTTTCCTTTAAAGGGCTCTTGCGTGTTGAGACACAAAGAGAGATGGTCGTCCAGCCTTGTTTATCACAAAATCATGGAATCAGAGAGTGGCTTAAGTTGGTAGGGGCCCTAAAGATCATCCAGTGGATGATCCACCCCCTGCCACAGACAGGGTTGCAAACCACCAGATCAGGCAGCCAAGAGTTTAGCTGGATAATCAACCCTAAAAATGAAATAGAAAATGGGATGTGGGATGGACCCAGACACAAACTCTGCTGGCCTGAGGATAGAAGGGCAGAGGTGAGACAGCAGCTTCAGGGTACTTTTAGAAGTCCCAATACGGGCAATATCATCCCCAAAACGTCACCCATGAAGGATGGGAGCAAGTCTCAGTTCCACTGGGGCACAGAACCCAGGCTGTCAGCTGGGGGAGATAGGAGCAGCACCCTGCACTCCCAGCAGCCAAAACGAGGGGTGGGACCCTACAGCCACCCTGTCCCATAAACCCATGTCCCCCCATGGGATTGGTCCAAGCATCACAGCATGCTCCCCCCGCTGCTTTCTGGGTCAGCGAGATGCCCCGGCCCCACTGCTGCTGGAGCTGGCTGGATGTGCAGTTGCCATGGCAACGGGTACCCAGAGATGAAATCCCTGTGTCTGTGGGTTGGAAAGGAAAAAAAAATAAATAAAACAAAACACAACATCCCTCCACATCTGGTGTGTCACCAAAACGCTCCCAGCCAGAGAGGTGGTGGGGCACGGCGGTGGCCTCAAGGATGCTTCCAGCCTGCAAAGCCAGCACTGAAGAACCAGAGAGAGGAGGTTGAGTAGCAGTGAGATGCTTACAGAGGAGACAGGAGGTGGCCAGCAGAGATGGGGAGGGCGGCATCCTGCATGGCACATTGGGTGGCTGGGTCTTAAGGGCAACATCCTGCCAGCAGCGGGGTGGGAGCATAGATCATCACGACGGGTCTCGGTGCATGTGACAGTGTCCAGGATCCAAGCCAAGTTCAATTAATGGCTCACAATCTTATTAGAGAAATTATTTCAGGATCTTGAGTAAAAGTCCGATATATCCACTCCATTCCATTAGTCAGGCTCATTTAGTAATTCAATCAATCTAAGCAAGGCAATTGAGCTCCTCTGGTATAATTTAACTCGGTTATTCTCTGGGTACTTAAGAATTTCTTAATATTTGCTCCATTATTTCACCATTACACCTATTCGCAGGTGCAAGGTTAGCAGCGAGGCAATGCTGTGGGTTCCAGAGCACCCCATCTCAATGCTGTGGGTCCCAGAGCACCCCATCTCAGTGCCCTGGCTTGGGGGACATGAGATGGGGATGGGGCAGCAGGGTTGGGGTGGGCCCTCACCTCCCCAAAAATGAAGTCTTTTCCAAAAGATTGGTGAGAATTTGGCACAGGCTGCCCAGGGAGGTGATGGGGGCATCATCCCTGGAGGTGTTACAGAACAGTGGAGATGTGTCACTGAGGGATGTGGGCAGTGGGCATGGTGGGCTGGGGTTGGACTAGGGGATCTCAGGGGTCTTCTCCAGCCTTATTAAGGCTGTGATCCTAAGCTACTGAGAAACATTACCTTCAGTGCAACACACACAGCGGACAGGTGATGTGGAGAAGGCAGCTCCAGGGGTTGTGAAATCTAAGGGCTGCCTGCTGTTCCTTGGCCATAGCAAGGATGAGCTTTGGTTGGCCGAAGGATCTGTCACCCCAATTAATGGCACCCCGTGTCCACATCTCAGTGCCCCCTGGCCCCAACACATAAAGGAGTCACAGAGAATTCTCCAGCGGGATGCGGAGCTTAGCAGAGAATAAAAACTAAGAAGAACATGAAAAGGAATAGAAACGATGAGGTATTTCAGGGAGGTATTCCACAGTGGCTAAACATGCCCACCTCACTGGTGCCTTTGAAAAATCTCACCCCTCTAAAAAATCAGAATTGATTTTGTATTTAAAAAGGAATCTATTTAATTTAAAAGAAAGATAATTTGAAATTGTGACGGCTCATATTAAGGCCCAAGTTTAGGATAATCTATTAAAGTCACTAAAGTTCAGTGTCTGTCTGCAGAGCAGATGAAGTTCCCTGCCACAGCCTGGGCAGAAGGGACACTCCTGGGGACATGGAGGGACATAGTGCCACATCCCAGTGCAGCTCAGCACAACTTCATGGAGTCGTTAAGGTTGGAAAAGATCACTAAGATCATCAAGTCCAACCAGCAACCCACCCCACCATACCCACTGCCCACCTCCTTCAGTGCCACATCCCCATGGTTCTCGAACACCTTTAGGGTTGGAGTGGGAAGGCAAAAACAGCTCATTCAGTTCCCTCAAACTCACATTTTGGCAACTAGAATAACAGGGACAAAAAGGCAGCATGGATGTGAGGCCAGGTAATGGGATATGGAGTGTGGGTTGATGTTGCTAGGAGGCCAGGAGGGAACAGTGAGCGGGAAGGGAATACTGAGCTGCCAATTAGCATTTCCTAATGGCCACCAACCAGTGAGAGTGAGGAAAACCCATAACTAATGCAACAGGCACCAAGCGAGATGAAAGCCAATGACTGAGGCATCCTTGATTCAAATCAGGATCAAGCCGAGTGCTTTTCCATCCCCACATCCCAGTGCAGAGCAGCTGCGATCCCCATGCATCCCCTCCCCGTAAAACAGAGGTGACAACCCCACAACCCACCCCCCACCATGGCTCTGCCTGAGGAGGAATGCAGGAGTGGGGACCAGTGAAGAGGAGCAGCTCATGGAGCTGCTGAGCAACAACTCACAACCCTTCCAAAGGTTGAAGATGCTGAGGAGGAGGGACAGCCCTGAGTAACCCAGAGGGTCGTAAAGAATGGGGCAAACTCCTAAAATAACCCAACTGAGACAACACATACCCCCAAATAAATTCGTGATGGTGAATAATAATAATGACACTTTGCAAAGGGGCCATGCCAACCCCAGAGCCGTGGGCTCTGACCCCCCAGGAGCAAGTCCCAAAAAGGGAGGAGCACCTGTGTGGCTTTTAGAACATCAAATGCCACAATGCCACGCGTGCGCGGCCCGCAGCATCCATTGCACTGCGGCCCCGTTGCCACAGCAACGCTCTCCGGCCTCCACCGCAGCATCACAGAGAGGGGCCATGCTGGGGATGGGGACATTGCATTTCACAGCCCCTTCTGGCCACCCCCTATCCCTGGGCATAGCTTTGGGAGAGTCCCCACAACCCTCCTATGGCATCCCCCAGCCCTGTGCCTGGCTCTGCCCTTTGCATGGAGCAGAGGGATGCAGTCAGCGCTGCTCCGAGATCAGATATAGGATCGCAGGTTTTGTGCATGTGGAAAGGTCCGGGGGAGACAGGAAGGTGACAAAGCACAGGGGACACAACCCAGGTAGAGCCACTGCTGTCCCCTCCCTGCTCATATGATGGCACACAGGATGGCATCGCAGCATAAAGGCACGTGCAGGCGCGCTGCTTTTGGGATGGCACATGGACAAAGGGGACGTTTGGACACACATGGGGCACCCAAGGGTGTGGGAGGTGAGCACAGCCACGATGGAGAGAGCAGCCGTGGGGTTCATGTGAGGTGGGGGCTGCATGCAGGAAGAATGGGAAAACAGTATCCAGCACAAAATTAAAAGATTGCAGCAAATGCCACAGCTCGGTTTGGTCCTGGGGAAGCAAGCGATGGAGGCCTTGCTGTAAGCACAGCATAAAGAAAGCAGCAAAGGTTGGCTTAAGGTGGGGGTGAAAATATAAATGATAGTAATAACGATACATAGAAGGAGCCCATCAGCGGTAGGGAAGCGATGCTCGGCAGCACGGCGCTACCTGCCCGGGGACCCGCAGCGGAGACCCGCCGCTATGCCCGGCTGGCAGCGCTCTGCAGCGCGCCGGGGGGAGGCGGCTCCGCTCGGAGAAGCGCTGCGGGCTGCGGCTTCCCGACGGGCAGAACCCTGGGGGGGCAGCGGGCCGGGCTCGACCCAGAGGGGCTGCGGAGCGCAGGGAGGAGCCCTTCGGCCGGGCGGCGCGGGGAGATGCTCACCCAGCACGAAGTAGGGCAGCTCCGTGTTCTCCAGGTCGTCCACAACCACCATCTCTCCGGGAAAATCGTTGCGCACCGAGAAGAGCAGCTTGGGTTCGGCGGCCGAGGGGCCGTGCATGATGCTCAAGTCGTTCTCCCGGAGGAAAGGCAGAGCCGACACCGTGATGCTTTTCAGTTTGCATTCCAGCTCCTTGGCCGCCGCCTCCGCCGCCGCCTCGGCGGGGCCGCTGCCGGCCGCCAGGCAGCACCCGGCCAGCAGGGCGCACAGCCCGGCCCAGGCCATCTTGCAGCTCCGGCGCCGGGCGGCGGCGAGGGGCGGGGACGCGGGGACCGGCACCTCCCCGTGCGGCGCGGTGCGGTGCGTTACGGCGCGGCTCGGAGGGAGAGCACCGCTCAGCCCCTTCTCGACATCATAGGGAATCGCGGGATCCTGGGATGGTTCGGGTCGGAAGAGGGTCTTAAAGCCCATCCGGCTCCGCGCTGAGGGAGGGGGTGTGATTGAAGGACAGCAACGCGTCTCCATGCGTAGAGCGGAGCAGAAGTAGTGACAAATGATAGGGGAAAGGAAGGATGAGGGGAATGTAAGAGAAATGCAAAGAGGGTGTAAAGGAAATGGAAGGGAAAGGAGAGGAAGATACGGAGTCACAGAATCGCTGAGGTTGGGAAAGACCACTGAGATCATCTAGTCTAACTGTAGGATATATGTAAGGGAAGCGCAGGGAAATGTAAGACTGCAAGGCAAAATAAAGGAACAGTAAGGGAACTGTAAGGAAAAAATGAGGGAAATAAGATAAAAAAAACATAGGGAAAACATTAAGAAAATGATAAGAAAAGGGATAAGGAAAAGCATAAGGAAAGGTATAAGAAATACTATAAGGGAGGGGATAAGAAAACGTGTAAGGAACACTATAGGGACAACCACTAAAGGAAAAATGTAAGGAGAAGCATAAGACAAAACATAAGGAAAAAATATAAGGAAAATATAGGGAAGAATGAACTCAGTGATGTAGGACAGAGCACTGCTCTCCCCTCGTGGGCAGTGATCCCCTTGGAGGCCCCCAGTGTGCCCATTGCTGCCTCCATCCCACGGCACATAGAGCCCAATAAGGGCTTTGCCCAGAGCCAGGGCTGCATACAGAGGTGGTGCAGGGCATCCTGCAGGGGCTCGGCTGGCGGCTGAGGGCCTCCCCGAAGGCAGTGTGCCTCGTGGGTGTCCAACCCCACGTAACAGGCAGAGCACAGGGCAGAGTGTGGGAGCAGAGAACTGAGCTACACACCCTCACGCTGAACCTGGTTATCCTTTCACCCAAATTCATCCCTAACCAAAACGCAGACAAACCCAGGCCGGAGCGCTACGGTTCTAGGAGGGGGATCTCAATCTTTCCTTGGCAAAACCACTTTTTTGGGGGGGAAAAACTCCACTTCTGGGGCTTGGGATGAAAGATGATGGTGGTACACGATTACAAGCGGGGGTGTTGAGCCCGGCGCTGGGCACGGGGCTCCGCGCAGGGTTAAGGCCGAGGCCGAGCGCTGCCCCACGCGTGTCTGCACAGCCTCCCCACGCGCGCCCGCTCCCCCCGCGGCTCCACGGCGCCCACCAATGGGAGGACGCGGAGAGGCAGACGGCTCCTCTCATTGGCCGCCGCCGCCGCATATATTATGGGGCGGCGGCGGCGGTGGCGGGGTGAGCGTGGAGGTGGCGGCGGCCGCGGAGCGCGGCGGGACCCGGTGCGGGTTGCCCGCCTGCGGGGCCGCGCCATGGGGCGGCGGGGCCGGCACCGGGAAGCCTGAGCCGCCACCGGACCGCGGGATCCGCTGCTGCCGCTGCCGCCCGGAGCCTGGGGTAAGCCCGACGGGATCGCCGAGCTCCTCCGCCAGTGGGGATGCTCCCCGTGGGGTGGGATGCTGCGTCGGACGGTGCGGATGGGTGGGAGGTGACCCCGCCCCGCCGGGTGGCTCGGTGACCTTGGGTGAGATGTCCCGGAAAGGACGAGGGGAGGCGGGAGGCAGTGTCCCACGGTTGGGTTGCGGAGTTGCCCTCGGCTGGGAAGAGCGGGAGCTGCGGACTCACTGCTGCGCTGCTCCGGGGAGACGGTCAGCTAAGGTGCCGAACTGTGCTGCCCTGCTGGGAGAACCTGGAGCAACAGCTGGCTCTCAGCGGGACGGGAAGGCTCCCAGAACGGTGCCGCAGAGCGGGGCGAGGAGCGGGTAAGCCGATACCAGCAGCCCGCTTCCCTTCGCTCACCGCTGGCTTTCATCATTTCCAAAGGAGCCCAAACTTCGGCCGGACTCGAGAGCAGCAGCTCTCGGCGCGGCGCTGTGCCTCCCGTCCCTCTCCTTCCCAGGAGTCCCGTGCTCGGCCCCGAAACGCAGCTGTGGGGCACGGGCTGGGGGTGCCGGGGTGTCCCTCTGTGGTGCCGGAGCTGCGGGACCTGCCGGCAGGTGTCAGTGTGCCCCCTCCGTCCGCAGCCGTGGGGTCTGCACAGTGCAGCCCCCTGCGCTGAGCCCCGGCTGGGATCGGGGGGCTGCTGAGCCCCGGGGAGCGGGAGGCTGGCCCCGCACACACCGCCGCATGTTTTTCCTCTGCTCCTGATGCTGCCCATTGGGGTGAAGCCACTTCACACTGCGCTCGCTCCGACAGTAGGAGGGGATGCCGCTGTGTGCGTGAGCTTCCCCCCCCCCCCCCCCCAATCCTCCCGGGAGCTGACTTCGGGGATGCTCGGGGCTGCGAGCTCGGCCCCAGGCAGGGGAAGCAGCCGCCGTGCTGAGGGAACTGGATTTGGCACGTTGCTCTTTCAAGAGGGTCTCTGCTTGTGGGTTTGGAAGTCTCTGGTGAGCAAAGCCAGAGGGCACAACACATGGCACTGGTGTGACACAGAACGCGCAGCTGCCATCTCCCTCGACCGCAGCCCGGGCTTCATCTCATCTGATGTCTTATGCAAATCCTGAGCTCCCCGAGTCCTGGGATTTTCTGACATTTTCCTTTACTCTCATCTTAAAGTTCCTTGCTCTAAGAAAAGCTAATAAAAGGAACCCAAATCATAATGTCTTGCAGGTTTTTAAGCCAGTCTCATGGGCGGGGGGGGGAGAGGCAGTGACTTATTGAAGTCGTTTAGCAAGCTCGGGGCCGTGATGGGGATCACCAACATTGCTGCTCAGACAGGGACAGCAGGCTCAGAAGTGGCTGTCCCTGTGCTCGGGATTCAGGTCCTGCACAGTCCTGGGTGGGCAGGGAGTGGGGCTGACCCCACAGCGCTGCAAATAGCATCGGCATGCACAGCTGAGCCCATCTGCTCCAGGCACTTAGCCTCTGCCCAGCCTCTCTAAGTGGCCTTAATTTGATAAATCTTTCCCACATTTAATAAGAAGGTGACTCGGTTAGAGTTTCATCCCTGCTAAAAGGCATCGGCAGGAGCTCAAGGCAAGCCCTCTCCTATTGCTCCCGCATGGATGCACCTCAGCTGGCCCTGTCCCCAGGGATGCTGGAGCAGGATGTCACCCGTCTGCCAGCATCAGCTACCTGGGGGCTCAGACACATCCCCAGCCAACCCCCTTGTGAATGCTTCACGGCATAGAGGCGGCCGGATCAGTTTCTGCAGCGTGAAAGGGCAAAAATCAATGTTAATGTCCCTGACAATTAGCTAATGTCTTAATTATCGAACCCTGCTTGATTAGTGGAGGAGCGTGTTGCTCCAGAGCTGCCTTGCTGGCGGCATCCAAGCAGGCAGGACGTGGCACAGCTTGGCAGGGTGATGCTGCTGCTGGGTCCTACAGCTTGTCCAGCTGCTAACGAGGAGCCCAGCATGTCCTCCTGCCCCTCGCTTTCTGGGTGAAGGCACCAAAAGCAGAAGTGATCCTATTGCCATCTCAGTGCTTAGGGCAGGAGGAAGCCTCAGAACATACGGGGTTTTGCAGGAAGCTGTTTTTTGAGATGCAGCTCGTGGCAATCCCAGCAGTGCACGGGTTGTCGCCTGCAGGAAGCAGGAACAGAGAGGGCTGCACCAGGACCAGGTAGAGCTGGGCAGGAAATAGGCTGTACTCCTGGGCATGTCTGCCAGGGACATTTGTGCTGAAATCCCTCTTTCTTCGTGTTAAGGTTTTTATAGACAAGGGGAAAAAAATAATTAGCAAGCTGGAATTTTTCCAGCTTTTGCGATACAAACCCTAAATCAAGAAGAAGAAAAAAATGAGTAGTCAGATGCTTCTCATCAAATCTCCATTCTTTTGGATCAAGGATAAGTGATTAGAAAGTTATTTCCAGCTCTAGTAGTGAGGTCAATGGGGTTATGAGCTACCAAAGAGCTGTGCTGTCCGCTGCTTCTGCAAGTACAGATTTGCACTTACATACTTATTTTATCCTACCCACCTCCAATACGAGCAAATAGAGCAGGGTGGCTAATGATGGTGTGGGATAGCTGGTCCCTGGTATCAGCTTGGTTCCTTCAGCATCACCAAGGCCAATCATCAACCTAATGCAGAAGGTCCCACCACTAACCTGTGTCCCTAAGTGCCATGTTTGCAGGGAAGAGGACTCTCCCACTGCCCTGCGCAGCCCATTCCAGTGCTTGGTTGACCCTCTCTGTGAAGATATTCTTCCTAATGTCCAACTGAACCTTTCATGGCACTGCTTGAGGCCATTTCCTCACGTTCTATCACTCATATATCCTGTCTTCCAGCCCTTCACTAACCTCACTGCTCTTCTCTGAATGCATTCCAGCAGCTCAGTGTCCTTGTAGCAAAAGTCCCCAAACTGAACATCAGCACTGTATACAAGGGTTGGTCACCCCCCCTCCGGCCCTGCTGGCTGTGCTGCAGCCCATGGCAGCCCCTAGCCCACCTGTGCTCTGCTGGCACCTTCATCAGGGTTATTGCAGCTGACAAGAACTTCAATTTTGGTTCCAAATTGCCAGGGAGCCGGCTGAGAGCACGTCATCAAAGCACACCCTTAAGGGTTTAAAAATAGAAGAAAAGGGGGAAAATAATAATAATGCGTATTTAAGTGGGATGATTCATCTGCCAAAGCCCTGGTTTAGGAGAGTGTGGGGTTGGTGCGTGCTTGGCAGGATGAGCATTGGGTGGCTCCTGCTACAGAGAATAACGGGCATATCCTAGAAGAACTGTGAATATAGGGTCCCCAAACCCTTGTTCCCATTGACCCCTATCCCATTCCAGAGCCTGTCTGCAGCTGCTGGCTTCTCCCAGGTCTTAACTGGCCTGGGGATAAGGCACGGAGCTGGCACACAGGCAGGGTAAGCCCCAGCTCCGTCTGTTTGAAGTCTGGAG